TATGTGACATTGTAGACCTCAGCCCTTGACCACACAAGTCTTCATAAACATTACCACAGAGGGAAGACACAGGTTGCTATTGTTATGATGAAAGTTGAGAGCAGAACCATCAGGGGTCGGCAGGTCAGATGTAGCATGAACAAGTTCATTTAAGCCAAAACTTGAAGGATGAGGAATAGCTGACATAGTGAATGGCAAAGCAAAGCATCAGAGCCAAAGTAATGGCAGGCATGTCCTGACTTTGGAAACCAGCAAGTGTGGGCAAGTGGGATCACCAAGGGTCGAGGGAAGGTTTAACTTCTGCTAACCTCCATTTTCCTCAGGAAATTGGGGAGGACAATGTGGACTGTTCCTTCTGCCGTGAGGGTTTACCCCAGGGCTGAAACGGCTACCACTGCTGCTACCCAGCTGCTCTCCCCAGTGCCCCAAATCCACCAGCAGCAACCCCTTGGTTCTCACTTGTCACCCCTCGGACCCTGGCCTAGGATCCTGCTCCTTCCAGATTCCTTGCTAGGGACCTGCATCCTGATGCTATTATACAGTGCTGTCAACCGACAGGCAGCTTCCTGGTACCACAGTTATTGAGCCTCCTTCCTGCTCCAGGTCCCCATGCTGACAAGACAAGACAAAACAAAACAAAACAAAAAGACACTGCTTCTCTTAAATGGGATCTTCTTGCCTTTTCCTAACTGTTGAGATAGACCAACTCCCCTCTAAAAGTCATCTAGCTCCAAACTGTGCCCAATCCCAGACTTCCCCATGCCAGTGTAAAGTAAAATGTCCCCTGGAGGACTGGCTATATTACAGGCAATTAAGTTTCAATCAAGTTAACTGCTACACCCTTACTTGGGCCGTGCCTACATGGGGGAATGGAAACTCACCCTTCCACACAGAATCTCCTGGACTCATGGAGAAAATGAATCTTATTATTATATTAATTGTGTGTGTCCATGTGGGTGCATGTGTGTGTGTAGGCTAGCATACATACATGTGTGTCCATGTGGGTGCATGTGTGTGTGTAGGCTAGCATACATACATGTGTCCATGCATTTGGTCGGGGTCTCTCATTAGCTTAGAATTTCACCGAGCAGGCTGGATTAACCTCCTGTCTCTAGCTCCCACCACACCATCACAGGAATGACAGGCATGCCCTTGACCTTTATACATGGGTTCTGGGGACTGAACTCAGGCCCCCAAGCTTACGAGCAAACATACTGGTCATGATGTGGAGGGAAGTTCCCAGGGCCTTAGCCAGGCCTGGCAAGCTAACACATCCAGCCCTTCTACTCCCTCGTGGTGCTTGGTGCCTCACCTGAGCCCGAGACCTGCACTGTCTCTGGTGACCTGGATGAGGTACCAGATACTTCCCAGAGCAGGATGCAAAGCTTTAAACCTGTTCTTTAGCAGTAAGGGCTGGGTTCCCCTTCTGATACTCCTCTGAACCCCAAAGTAACAGCCTAAAGCAAAGAGATGAGTGTGCTAAGATGGTTCTGCCCTCTGGAAGGGAACCAGGCTTTCGTCCCTCTGTTAGGGACAGAAAGCCCGATGTGAAGCTGGCAGCTGTGGTTGGTAACCAGTGAAGGGTCTGGCCACGTGGACTAAGGCTGCCACAGAACAACATGATGCCAGGCACTAATCTGCACTCAGTTCCCCACCAATGGCTCAACTTTCTTTGCTTTCAGGATGTAACCCTCGATTTTTGTTAACTTGGACATGCTGTGTGGGCTTGGCTCCTTCCATAACCAAGCCATTATGGGTCCCTTGGGTAGATATGTTACTCACTGTCGAGAAGATGGCTTATTTCCACCAGGTCAGACATTGTGGTTTGGTTTGTGTGGCTTATGATCAGCCCATGGGACTTGGGGGTGCTGGTATTTCTGTGCTCTAGGACCTTAGAGATGCTTCTGGAAGCGGCCCCTGCAATTATGTAGCACCTGGAAGCCAGAGCAGTATAGATGCTGTCCCACTGTTCAGAGTCCTGGGTAAATATGTAAAAGTTGATCACTACAATGCATTGAACGCCATTGCAAAGCAACAGGAGTAACAGCACATAATCAAGTCGTACACTTTCTCTGAAACACAGAAAACATTTTCCTTGACTTCTGAGTCCTAAGGATTTCTGTGCCACCATTATACAAATCAGCAAGCTTCGTGGAGAGAAGCTTTAAGTAATTTAATTTGAGCCTAAAGATCTTGTGTGTGTGGGGGGGGGACGACAAAACGCACACCAAAACAAACCAAAACAAGATGACCAAGTTATCTTGGCCGCTGGACCAGATCTCAAGCCCATCCCACATTTGCTGACTGTGCAGGTGGGTCCTCGCACTCTGACAGAGATACAGTCATTCTCAGGACTGTCGTAACAAGACCCAGTGAGGCCCAGAGATCAACTGTATTTTCTGAGGGTGCTGTAAATATTCTAGGCTGTGAAAGGGGAACCCCGAAACTCCAAATTAGATCTAGCTTTCCTATTGTCTGGAACCTAATTAGCTGTCTCAGAGCAGACATCTGTTCCATATACAGATGGTTCTCAAATTCATAAAATCAAGAATTCCAATTTTGGATGTGGTCCTCCATGGCCTCTGCGTGGCCCATGTCAGATGCGTTCACTTGAATAATGCTGTAAAACCCTCGGGGTCTCAGACCTTCTCAAAATGCAGCCATGCTTCTTTTATGCATACGTAGTAACTGGCCTTAGCCTGAGGAATATCTGGCTTTATAAAAGTCCTGTTTCCATGAGCACATGAAAATGATATATGATTAGCCTATCGTCAGGCTGCTTGTAAATACACAGGTGCTCCTGAAGGGCTTGCGAATGGCTCGTTTCATTTCACAGACGGGCACGCTCCTAGGTGATTGTGTTTCTGCTATTCATTTGCTTGGTAAGTGCCTTTTCATAAATGCCAAAACAAAGCAGCCCGGCCCAGCCCAAATCACAACGCGTTTCCAGCAACAGAGAGTCCGGGAGAATGGGGTTTGTATTCTGCTTTGTTATACCGTGTGAAAGGTGAGACTGCTTGCTTTATCACGTGTGAAATGCACATTGTAAGACAGAAAAAGGTGGAGCCTGCTCACCTCCTTCCTGAAAGGATCGATTAAGGCAATGATGAAGGGATACTTGTTGATCAGATCCACGTACAGCTCCATCATCTCGGCCATGTTCTTGTGGGCGCCCACCATCACTTCGTACTTCCCTTTACTCTGACGTGAGTGAAGAGGACAGTGGGAGAAAGTGATGAGTGCTCATCGGTGATGGTGACGGTGCCCCCCAAACTCATCCACCCCAGTGACTGTGCATGAGTTCTTTTCAAGGCACAGTCTGCTGCAGGATCTCTGCACTGTACTTTCTTTTGCTTGTTGTCAATTCTCACATACATTATATCCTGACTGCAGCAGTCCCCCTCCTCCCCCTTCCCTGAAAATTAAATTTCATAAAGTTTTTAACCCGGGGAAGGCAAGTCACCGTTGCTCTGGATGCCCCAGCGAGCTCTTCCCACAGCCTTGGGATGAAGCCCTCTGCACAAGAAAACACATCAGATACGGAGTGGGAGAAGAGTGGCTTTCTGTTTAGGTTATGACATGGTAGTGCAGGCCCCTGGCTGCCCGGGTAGGTAGACAATAACACAAACCCATAAATTGCCACACAGACCTACCCACTCCAGAACACACCGTTGCCTTTCAGCTCACAGGGGACAAGTCACTCACTTCCCTTTCTGTAAACATAATACACTCTGAAACCAGGGCAAAGGTTTTGCAAACTGACACCCAACAGGAGTGGCAAGTGGCCCTGGAAAGGTGGCTTTTCCTCAGGTAGCCTGCCACTTGCCCTGGAAGGGGACGGTCCTGGTGCAAACCTATTCATTTGACTTCTGCCTTAAGTGTGGGATTAAATGGGGTTGGAGGATCCAGTTTAGTCCTGTGAGACAAAGCAGCTTGCTTTCAAGTTTGTGACCAGGGGTGGCACCGGGGATGCTAGGAAGTGGGCGGTTTGCTTTGCTAATACCCTCCTGCTGCTCCAGCTAATAGAACTGGGCTCAACTGGAACTAAGCAGGTTCCTAAGACGTCTACAGTTAAAAGGATTTTCTACCTTTTTCACATTAAAAAGCAGTAAGAAGTTTTGGTTTCTATAATGAGAAGCTTAAAAATCCTGTCTTGTCAGTGAAGAAATGCTAATGACTTTGAACTAACATTATTGTAAGAATTATCTGATATCAAGCTAATACATTTTACTGAATATAAGCAATAAATACTCATTCTCGTTAGCACTAGCAGTCAGTATATTCATAGTTCTGGGTATACGTTACTGATGAAAACATGCAATTATTTTTCTTAACGGTATGCCTAGGAACCAATCATTACACGAAGAATAGGAAATTACTTTAAACATCCCTTTATGTGCTTAGTTTCTTTAGAAGGTAAAATAACTTCTAGAAATCAGCCAAAAC